GGTAGCACAAAATTGGCTCAAAGATTTACGTGATACGTCTTATGTGGAATACCGTGTTAATGTAAAAGCTTTGCCATGAAGCCATTGATTTCATTGGGCATTACATCTGGTGAGCCCAGTGGTATTGGCCCAGAAGTTAGTTTGCAAGCGGCGAGCCTAGTGATGACATCGTTGAGCACTTTGGATTTGCCTTTTCGTTTGGCATTACACATTTATGGCGATGAAGCTGTTTTAGCGCAAGCGGCAAAGGTTGTTCAGCTTGTGCCACAATTTACGCATTGGCTCAGAGCATCTGAAACACCGATCAAGATTGTCCCCATCGCTTGCCAGCATGTTGTCCAAGCAGGGCAGCTCAATGTTCAAAACAGTGCCTATGTATTGCGCCTATTAGATGAAGTTCTCACCCTCAATCTTAAAAAGCAGTTAGATGGTATGGTGACTGCGCCGATTCAAAAAAGTGTGATTCTTGAAGCGGGTTTAGGGACGATCAACGGTGTTAAATTCAGTGGACATACAGAATATCTTGCAGCCCACTGCAATCACTCCGATGTGGTGATGATGTTGATGGGGCCAACGCTATTAACACAGACAGAAGTGTCAGAATGGTTAAAAGTTGCTCTGGTGACAACCCATATTCCTTTACATCAGGTGAGTAGTGGACTTAATCAAGCGACTATTGTCAACAAAATCAAACTGATTCATGATGATGTAAAAAAATGGTTGGGCAGACCCCCTCATATTGCGGTTTGTGGTTTGAACCCTCATGCTGGAGAAAATGGTCATTTAGGACTTGAAGAAAAAACCATTATCGAGCCAGCGATTACTCAAGCTGTATCAGAAGGGTTCCATGTTTCTGGAGCTTATGCAGCTGATACTTTGTTTATTCCGCGCAATTTGAAGGGTATCGATGTGGTGTTAGCCATGTATCATGATCAAGGCTTGGCACCTTTAAAACTTGCGACGCAGGGTAATGGCGTGAATATCAGTTTAGGTTTGCCTGTCACACGAACATCTCCCGATCATGGTACAGCGTTAGGCATTGCAGGCAAGGGGCTGGCAGATCCGACTAGTATGCAACGTGCGATTTTAACGGCAGCGCAAGTGGCATGGCAAAAGCAAATGTTTGCTCCGAAAAAGGAGGGGTGATGCGTCATCAAACTTCCCCCAAAAAGCCAAAGCGCACACTTTCAGGTCATGCTCCCAATAAACAATTAGGACAAAATTTCTTAGTTGACCAAAGTATTCTCCATGAAATTGTAGCCTGTATTTCACCCCAACCTGATGATCTTATGCTCGAAATTGGTCCTGGATTGGGGGCGTTAACAGAATGTCTATTGCCTAAGCTTAATCATTTATGGGTAGTGGAGCTAGATGTAGGTTTGGCAAAACGACTTGAACGTCATGAGAATCTTACTGTTTTTCAAGGAGATATTTTGCAGTTTGATTTTGCAAAGGTGCTAAGGCAAGAGCAGCCCGAGCCTTTGTTAAGAGTGGTTGGCAATTTACCCTATCAAATTTCTTCACCGCTTCTGTTTTATCTGATGAATTGGGCTGATCGTATCAAAGATCAACACTTTTTGCTGCAAAAAGAGGTTGTCGATCGGATCGTTGCAAA